TCACTATCAATCCCCTCACTAACAATCCCCTCACTATTAATCCCCTCATTATCAATCCTCTCCATTCTATCTCCCAAAACAAACGGGCCCCAAGATTAACAGTAATCCTGAGTCCTTAGGCTTCTATTGGGACTAGGTTTATGTTGGCTATAAAAGACAGACACCCCATGGGTCTAAGATATGCTTTTTTGGCTCAAGCTTGTGAGACGAACCACCGCAGAATTCTTATATTTCTGTTGCAGATTAGTCAGGTGCTATCTATTCTGCCAGTGCTCTCCAACTGAATTACTGAGTTGGCAGTGCGGTTGGAAAATTTCCCACACAGTTTTAATTTTAATTTTATAATTTCTTGTTGTCCAAGAAGTAAGTTTATTATACTAAATAAGGTTGTAAGTTATTGAGTTTCAGTTTATATCTTGATTCCTTTTGTAGAGAGAATATCTCTAATTCCGATTTATTGTGGTTCAATCTTGTTATCTGTCCTCCTTTCCGTTACATTTCACTGCATTACATCTACTCGTTAAATACACCTACTGTTTCTTCACCATACAAAGATCAATGGGTTTGCGAAGAAGAAAAATCAAAGCTAGAAAGAACAATGAAGATCCTAAACAAAAAGAAGACAATCAACAACACGAGTCTTCAATGGAAGATCTCCCACATGATCTCTCTCTCGATATCCTTTTGCGATTACCAGTCTCCTCTCTCATTCCAGTCAAGTTAGTATGCAAATCCTGGTACAATTTCGCAACTTCTCTTCATCATGAACCTCACAATCACAACAACAAAAACAATCCTTGTCTCCTCGTATTATCCACTCCTCCACACGATCAAAACCATTGCATAGCTGAGATCAATGTTTTGTATGAAATCGACAATCAAGGCAACTACGGAGTAATATCAAAATCAATCAAACAGCCAATGAATCATAACATACTCAATGTCAATACCACTCTGTCATGCAATGGTTTGCTCTGCTTAATATGCTTGAAAAACAATTTTTCCTATCGAGTCTGCATATGCAACCCCTTGACTGAAGAATACAAGTATTTGCCTGATATGCCATCTGTGTCACAAACAGTCACACGACTTCGTCACTGTAAGTACATCGACAATGAAGCCTATCTTTACCAGCATTTTGGGTTCGGATTCAATCCAAGTACTAATGAATACAAAGTGGTGAGAATTGCTGGAATTCACAACGTCACACACATGGTCACTTTGAAGAAGAAGAAGCCTTTTAATTGGGATTTTGATCCAAAAAATTTCAAACAAAAAGTCGATGTGTTTACTCTCAGCAGAACTGGGGTTTGGAGGTCTAATATCGACATGCCTTTTGCTTGTCCGGTGGAATCATCTGGCGCGGTGGTCAATGGTGCTATTCATTGGTTATGCGCAGGACGGAGCCAGTTCAAAGAATCATGTATTGTCGTGTCATTTGACTTGTCAGATGAGAAGTTTCGGGTGATCCCAAACCCGCCAGACTGCGAAATGGGTCAGGGTTGTGAGTTGTTGGTGTTGGGAGGCTGTCTTGCCATAACTGACTACTATGCAAGACAGATTGATATATGGGTGATGCAGGAACATGGTGTGGAAGGGTCTTGGACTAAAGAGATTGTCATCATAGAGAATTTGCCTGGAGTAAGTTTGAGAAGTCCTCAATGGATTCATCCTCTATGCTTGTTGAGCAGTGGGAAGATTGTGATCTCGTACAAGAGAGGAGCTTTGTATTGTTTTGATCCAGAAGAAACAGAATGGTTGAATATTTTCACCAAAAGGGGCTTGCATCCCCTTGATCAGTTCATGGCAGTTAGTTATACTCCAAGCCTTGTTTCACCTTTTTTACACTAGCTTGTTTTTCCCTTTCTTATATCTTGTTTTTAAAAATTGTTTTTCATATTAAATTTTGATTCAATTGATAATGCTATATACAACAAGATGTGGCAAAATTAGCATGTTTCATTTTAATGCTATTTATTATGAGTTTTCTATCAGTAATACTACAAATTCATAATTTTTACCCAGAATGTGTGGTTCAGATTTATCTATGCATGAATCTCACAACACTAATCTCAGCCACATATCATAATTCTTGACAAAAATCTGGTCTAACCTTAAAATTATTGTGGAGTGATTAAGTAGTGTCATTTTAATTGAAATTCTGGGAAATGTCAAACTCCAACTGCTTCAATCTCTTCAATAACTAGTCTTCAAAAATAAAAATTCTATAGATTTGAGATTTCTCATATTTCTTGCTTCAATTTCGTATGATTTTATTTACAATTTTGGGCTTAACATATGTATGTGTTATTCTTGTCCTCATATCTTGGTTGTTTCAATTTCATCTACAAAGTATTAGATTTGTGTTGGAGTGGTTCTTATGTATAACTCTGTCATTATTTATCTTCAGAATCAAGAATATTTTTTGAAATAAAAATTACATCTCAAAAAACATGCATGTAACCTCAGAGAATGACAAAGAAGATTACACCTCATTATTCATATATCTTTAGTTGTCGTTTGGCTATGACTTTTATAGTTAGCATTTTTGAGTTGGGACTTTTTTAATTTAGGATTAAAAAGTTCGTTTAAATTGGCTTTTTTGACTTTTTGAACTTTTGTAAGAAAAAAATAATAATAATTATAGTTTGAATGTGACATTTTATTTTATTAACTTATTTAATTTATTTTGTCTTTTGTACTTTTTTAGTCCCAACCATGATTACCAAAAAAAGCCTTAATCAATTTTGATTGTTGTGACTTCTAGGGTCTTGGCTTTATCATTTTAATAAAGCATATTTTGACCTCTGAGGCCATGGCCTTAACTGGATTTTATTATTTTTTATTTTTTATTTTTTTTTAAAGTTTTTTTTTAACTCGCCTTGGCCTTAATTTTGATCAAGGTTTCAAAGGTTACATACGTTGAGAATATTTGCTCTATTCACATACATTAAAGCCAAAAATAATTACAATTGAATACACATTCAATCCAATTTCAATTGAATTCTAAAAAATAAAACAAAAAAGTGGGCCGCTAGAGCAAATTCAACTCCTAATTCTTGAAAAAAAAAAAAACATATAAAAGGAAATACATTTGACTGAAATTTATTTATTTTTGTTATTCATTGTAATTATTTTTTGCCTTAATGTAAGCGAACATAGCAAGTTTAACCCCCAAGGGACTAGCTTGGTATAGTGTTCTTTCCAGGATCTTACGCTCAAAATCTCCTAAGTGTAAATAATTTTTGAAACTAGTCCATACGAAACTTTTGTCCTAATTGAATCTTTTGTTAGTAGACAGTGACATTGGTTCTTTAAATTAGTCCGTCCATGAACCAGATACCAAATTATTTTAAAAAAATAATTTTGAGCAAGTAGTATGTTGTCCTGACATAACAGTATTTTTGCATTTGAATTTTTTGTGTTTTTTTTGGCCTTTGTGGTGGATGTAGATTGTACTTGAAAGAGCCAAACTTATTGTCTCAAAACCTGCGTAGTTTTAGATCAGAAGAAAGTTTTGCAACGCAAAGTATCCCATGTTCCAACAAGTAGGCGCAATTAATAGATAAATTACTAATCGATTCTAATAGTTTAAAATTCTATTAAAAATAAGTCTTAATAAAATTATTGTTAAAAATAAGGTTTTGTGACGATTTTTGCATATATCGCTAAAAATTGATAATTAGTGACTTTTTTTTTATCACGATTTTTATAAATTGTCGTTAAAACTTACAATTAATGACGTTTTTCTGTAACGAATTTTTCAAACTATCGTTGAAAGTTGAAAATTAATGACCTTTTTGTGACGATTTCTTTAAAATGTCACTAAAACTTAAAATTAGTGACTTTTTGAGACAATTTTTAAACTGTTGCTGAAAATTAACAACTAGTGCCGTTTTTTTAATAGTATTTGATAAAAAATGCCATTAATTTTCACAGGATCTATTGAAAAATAAGTCCACCAATTAGAACATACACATAAGTCTCCCACAACTAATAGAATTTGTTGAGGATTACACACTAATCCTAAGTTGGAAGTTCTTAATTAAGAGAATTTTTGGGTGCAGATAGGGTAGGTGTCATGTGGTACCTTTCTCTTCTTTCATTGGTTGAGAGAGTGTAAGCTACATTTATGTGTTGGGTGATGAGGAGACAATATAGAAGGCCATGGTATTTATGATTAGTTGAAGGCACCATATGACATGCCACATGGTACCCTATTTGTACCCAAATTTTTTTCCTTAAGAGTTAATTGTATATGTAAGAAAATGAGACATATTCATTAAATGCCTTCACATATTCAACAGTGATTAACCTCATAAAGAGTAATGTTAGGAATCTCAAATAATTTATCAATGTTTTACCAAACCTCTCACATTGGTAATACTATACACATATCCACATGTGTGTTAGTCCTACACCCATGTGAAAAGTTTGATAAATTATTTGAGATTTCTAGTATTACTCTAAATAAATTTCATTTCCTTGTATATGTAATTAAGAACTTCAAACTTATTTTTCTCATATAGCCGGAGAAAAAGAAAAAAAAGAAACCATTAATCAAAATAAGCAAGCATTCTTTTGTGCAAAGAATAATTAGTTTCTTAAACCATCTCTAACGGTGCATCAAACCATGCATCCGATTTGCAATTTGATGAAAAAGTGACTTTTCAAGCTCCAATGGTTTCACCAATTTGATATCAAAATGAGAATGGAACAAACATTTCATCAAACTGAGGACAAGCTCTGTATATCAGTATTTCACTGTGCTTGACCGTTGGGGTGGGCCAACCGGTCAACCAACCGGATGTTCGGCTGGTTGACCCACCGGTCGACCGGTTCTCTTTCAAATAGGTAGGTTCAAACCGGTCAAAAAGGTTCAAACAGGTAAAAAAAAATTAGACTTACCAGTCAATCGGCCGGTCGACCCTTCTCTTTTGATGCACGGTTAGACCAAGCCATATCAGATTGAGAAAATTGGCTTTTTTTTACTCAAATTTGGTGAAAATTTTAGTTCACCGTTGGAGATGCTCTTAGTCAAAATACTCATTTCATTTGTTGTAACCCGTGCTATGCACGGGACTTTATAAATTTAAAAAAATTATTATAATTATCTTAAAATAATTTAATATTTTGTCTTAGAGTATACATGAAATTTATAAGTTAAGTTTTATATTTATAACTTTTTAAATTATTAGTTTAATATATATATATATATATATATATCTATTTAGTGCAATTTTAATAATTTGTATTAAAAAAAGTTAAACGTCATTAAACATACTTGTTCTTATTATAAAAATAAAAAGTAATAATTAAGGCAAATATACAATTTTATTATTAAATGTGAAGTGAAGTGATATTTAACAATAATTAATATGATGTTTCTATTATTAATCCAATAATTTAAGTTACATTTCTTTTTATTTCAATTTCATAACTAAAAATACAATATGAATTTAATACACATACGGATTTCTAGTATTTAAGAATAAGAAGATTTCAAAATATTTTCAAATTTTCATCATTTTCTTTTAATTTTTTTTAATTTAATTTGATTTGAAATTTGAATAAAATTTTTGATTTGATATGAATTATTTTAACTTTTTTATTAAATTTTTATCAGTTTTTAAAAGAACTTTCATTCTTATCCCAATTTTTTTTCTTTTCACCAATTTTGATGGAAAAAACAATAATTTTCAAAGTTTCATCTTTTTAAATTTTTATCAAATTATAATTTGATAAAAAAATATATTAACGGTTGAAGATTCTTTTAATTGGAATTATAGTGAAATAACATTTTAAAATAGTCAAAGTTTGAGTAATTTAATTAATTCTCTTCTTATATTTGTATAAAAATTGACACTTATGACTACATCATTATAAGTCAGATTATGAAAAAAATTTAAGGTGTCAAACATTTCTCATTCGTAAATATCCAACATATTAAAAAAATAAAAAGAAAAAAAATGTGTAGCTTTTGGATATGTGTTTATTAGTTTGTTTTATGGACATAAACAATTGATGTTTCAATTTAAAAAATTAAAACGTAAAAAAAAATAGATTGGGTTTTTTAGAGATAAAAAAAACCGTCTAACTCTTTTATATAATATGTAACATGGACTATTTGATCACATAAAAAAATAGAAATTATCCTTATATATTATGCTATTATATACAACTATAACTGTAACAAATTAACTATAATATATATGAAAAGTTATATTAAGCTTTCAATTAATTGAATTATAATTAACAAACTAACAACTATCAATAATGGTATAATGGGATAGAAAGATGATGAAAATAAAGAATACAATAATATTTAAAAGTTTTAAATTTACCTAGTTATACAAAAATCTTAAATTCTCAATAAATTTTCACATTTTCTATAAAATAAAATGACAATAAAAAATAAAAATTTTGATCCATTTTTTCTACTTTAATTTTATGGTGTTCATTGAAGAAAACAAAATCAATCAAAATCCTTGGCACAAAATGGATATAGATACTTAGATTACAACCATAATTACCAATAATTCTTCTCCACCATGCAAACCTATAAACAAACATATAAATCTCACTAAAACCGAAACCAACAGTAGAGAATGAGAATCACACAGGAAAAAAAATAAAAATAAAAAACAAATAAATTTTTGGAATTGTAAGATATTACTCCTAACAACTTAGATCTCACCCCGCCTAATCCGTCAGCTCTTCCGCCAGTTCTTGCAAAGTCTAGGAGTTGGAATGACTAATCATATTTTTCCTTTAAATAAGACTTGAAAATTGATTGATTTGTCCAATTAAAGATTTAAAATTTTGAAGATTTAAAATTTTGATAGATATGC